ACATTTAGAATGTTTAGAGAGTAAAAAATCATTAATATTAGTAAGAAGTTAAGAAAGAGGTTTTCCATTTTTAATGATGGTCTTAGCAAGGTGTTTCCAAAGTATCCTGTTAAAAACATGGTAATACAAAAAAAAAAAAAAAACTGGTTAATAAACTAACATAAATTTCAGTGAATTTTTATAATAGTGTCTTAATAATGCACTACCTAAAGCACAACATAAGCACAAAATTTTTGGTGAATTACTTCAAAGAGGACATAGACACTGTATTTAGTAAATTTATTGAGAAAGTAATCATTGTGATGGCTTTAAAGCACGAGGAAAGGAACTATGTTAGAAAAGTTAGCCTTAAGGCCATGATACACAAATCTAATAAGACAATTTAATGATATAAATATTTATAAATAAATAACATAAACAAATATAAGGAAAATTCAAAATGTATTTCTGTATTTTATGCCATATGGCATAAAACTCATAAATAATATATAAATGTTATATATTGATAAACTAATATATATAAATACATAACACTTATAATAAAGCTTAATTAAAATTTAAATATATAAGTATCAATTTCTGTAATAATCACAGGTTCAGAATACATGGTCATTTTTACGTAATATTCATGTGAAAATCAATTTGATTTTGTTCTTTCCATCAAAACTTAGTGAATATGCACAACATGATGAGGCTGGCTAATAACTAATGTGGTTAGGATACACACTTGAAATTTTAGAGTTAAGAACAAAAAAATTAATTTTTGTTCTCACATTGATCTGTGTATCTGTTAAACCAGATTACGGGATTAATATGCACATTTCTGAGAAATTCTTTTACAGAGATGTTTGTCAGACTTTAATAGTAAGAAGACAAAAACAGAAAAAGTAGACTGATATGAAGACACAAATCTCTTAGGAAAAAATAAATATGCTTGAGAGACTTTCTTAAAGACCATGGATTTATAAATACCACAGATGAGGTAAATTCCTTTACAGTAATACTTAAATTCATGAATGCTTCTTTTTGTAAGCAATTTGATTTGCTAATTGGGCAAAATTTTGCTTTCATTGATGAACTCCACAAACACGACCATGGCCATCTTACCTGCATGAGCATAAATGTGGTCATCTTTCCTAGAATCTTGGAATGAATTAAGTTCATAAACCAAGGAATTTTATGAACAAGCATAAATTTTATAAATTCAATTTTATAAAATGGAATGGGAACACTAAATAGAAACTTCTATCTTCATATAGATTCTATGGCTCTATCTAACAAGGCTGGGGAAGAGAAAGCTAAGAAAATGAATGTAAGGGACACACAGTGCCTAACATCTAAAACCCACCCAGTGCCAGAATTGCTTTTGTTGGAGTGTCCTGGAGACCCCTGCAGTGATATTCCAGTCTCCTGCAAGTTGTTACGTAAGAGAGAAAAAGCAAGAGACAAATAGCAAGCAGTGGGGTCTGGGGTGAACAGTTGTTCCCAGGCAACAAAGGCCACAAAGCAGCCAGAATCTTGGTATTTACTGATTGAGGAAATTGGTGAGGAGATTATCAGGTGACTCCGAGGGCAGTGGTGATTTTACACTAATGAGGATCTTGCCTTGGAGGGTTGTTTTTTTTTTTTTTTTTTTTTTGTCTTAGTAGTTTTAGTCTTAGTCTTAGTAGGTGGAGAAGATGGCCCACTCCTAACGAGATAATGAGAAATCTCAAAGGGGTCACAACCAGTAATTTCAAGCCTCTATTTGTCTCTTAGGGAAGCATATAAAACTAGCCATTTGAATTTTTGGTCCTCAACAGAGGTAGTTATTTTTTGCACTTAGATGTTACTTCTCAGACCCTTCCTACTAATTCTTTTCCTACTTGGGGAACAAATATAATATGAATTTGAGACATCTGCAATTAATTGTTTTATATGTATATAGAATTATATAGTAAGAAAGTAGATGAATGAAATTACTTAAAAAGTTGATAAAAATAGTATATATTACTATAGAAATTATAAAATATTCCTAGTGATATTCTGCCTACTACAGACTGGTTGAGAAGAAGCAATTGTTTTATTTTCTTTAAATAGGACAAGTTGTTCTTATTTTCATTATTTCTGTGTCTTTGAATTTACAACTGGGAGCTACTTTAGGCATTTTAAAGTAATGTATCTTTATTAAACTAAATACTTAACAAACCAACACAAGACAAATTTGGCAAGATTATGTAACCTAGTAATGTGACTTTAGTGGATATATACTTCTGATAGAACCCATAATTGAATTATTCTACAACCGGCTAATGAATGATCACAATAGCTTAACTTTCCTTTAATAATTGCCTTGTATTACAGTGGCTCTTGAGTCATTAAGTCTCTAGAGGATTCATTTGGTCACGTTTTCTTATATCTAAGTATCTAAGACTACTCAGAACATTTTCCATAGATAAAGAAAAATGAACTATACAAATACTTCATCACTAAGGTTCAGAGTAAGACTGATTACAATGAAAAAATAAACAATAAAATATTAACATTCAGTAGTGTAATTTATCATCATCATTATTGCCATTATGGTCATAATCATCGTCATCACCATCATTATTAAAGGAAAGAGAAATAACTAGAAGTTTACCATCATTAGTATTCAGAGTTAACACTAAATCTAACTTCATACAAATTCTGTGAAAATCTGTGCAATGCTGCTGTTGAAGCACAGGGCAGCTCTTTTGCCTTTTGTCCTTTTTCTCCTTTATCTCTACAAGATTTTGCTCTTATTTTCTCCCTTTCAATTTATTCATTTATATATTTCTTTCCAACTGCTCTTTATCTCCACCTTTCCTTTCGAAAACCAAGGGAAGGCTATAGTTCATAGCCGAAATATCTACGTACAGTGCAAATACTCCTCGTTTAATGACCTTCCTGTTTGACAACTGTTTGGATTTATAATCCACTACTTGGACTTACAACCTATCTTTTTTTAAAGAGTTCTGTCCATCTTGATTATAGAGCCTCAATATCTTCTATTTGTGTACTACATCTTAGTTATATAGTACTGTAATGTCTGCTGATTGTACTGTACAATATAGAACAGTATGGTAGCTTGTTTTTGAGCTATAGCTTTATATTCTGCTTACATTACAGTACTGCATGTAATCATTATGAAAATAAAAGCAAAGTCCCCAAGTTGGAGGAGACTTTGATCATTTCTTGGTTCTGAATACATTAGGACCCCAACATAAAATCGGTTTCATTTAGGGAGAATGTGCTTAAATCTGAGTCATCACTATGGGACACTGAGTCTTACACAGTGCACTTGTGAAAGTTAACTCAGAGACTTACTCACTGTAATGTGCATACTATGTACAATTCCTCATTTAGGAACCAATTCATTTTAAGAGCTGGTCACAGGAATGGAGCCAGGTTGTCAAAGAGGCTGTATAATAGAAAATATGGTTAGTTGTTGTCACCAGTTCCTGACACAGACCTCCTGGATTCCTTGAAGGTAAGGAGTGTCATTGTTCCTCACACAAACACATCTGAGTTTATAACGAGGCAACACAACACAGGGTCCCTGGTAGCACCTGGATGGGGCTGGTTACCAAAACATAAAGTGATTAGAAGACTAGAACTTTTCCAGCCGACTCACTGATGACCAGGGAAAGGGAGAGTACTGGAAAGGGAGTGCCATAACAATTTTGAACAGTGGGGTCCAGAGAAGCTCAGGCTGGGAGCACACCCCAGTTCTGAGAAGGAGACAGGACTTTGGATAGGGGGCTTTGCACTTCGTCTCTTGACCTACACTTTCCTACACTTCAGGTATATCCTTTTCAACAAACCAGTAAACACATATAAAATAATTTTCTGAGGTCAGATAATGATTCTAATAAAACATCAGTTTGGAAGAGAGGGTCTTAGGAACCCCGACTTAGACACAATCTGTCAGGAGAATCACCAGACATGGTCTGAGGAGGATCCCTAAAGACATAAAGATTTATTAAGCAGAATTTATTTATTTATTTATTTATTTATTTATTTATTTATTTATTTTTGGTACTGGGAATCGATCTCATGACCTCACACATGCCAGGCAGGTGCTTATGCCGCTAAGCTAAATACCTGACCCTATTAAGCAGAATTTTAAAAGTACACATTTGGAAAGAATAGAATGAAACAGAAGTAAGAAGATGAGGGAGACAGGTCCATGGTGGTTTCAAGCTGGGTACATTTATGTGGTTTAAGGGTGGAAATGTACGGAAAGCAAGGTCTGATTTATATATAAAAGCTGATGGTCTTTTCTGTGGGTAAAGGCTGATGGTCTGTGTCTTAGTTACTTTTTTCTCATTGCTGATACAGAATACCCAATACACAAAATGAAGGAAGGAAAGATTTATTTAGCTCACAGTTTGTGGAGTTTTTGGTCTATAACCAGCTGGCTCCAAGGCAGGGTGACATAGCACAGGGCAACACTTCAAGGCAGCAGCCTGCAAAAGTGGCCAAAACAAAAGGTGGCCACAGCAAGCCTCTTTTCCTCCTTTATATTATACACAGCCCCCCCCCCCCACACACACACACAAACACACACCCTCAGGGCTGGTGGAGTGCTCACAAAATCTCTGGCCCTCTCTTTGCACAGGATGAGGATATTTACAAAGTAAGAATTCTGGCTCCCTGATGAGTCTCTTAGTTAAACTTCTAAGCTTCTCAAGTTGACACAATCTAACACTGGGTCAGAGGTGAAAGGGCCATTTTACAGCAGAAAGGAGCTGGGCCTCCAGGCAGAAAAGTAGTGGCCCATTCTATAAGTGAGAAGCAAGATTTAGAAGTGAAAAGCAAGAGCCCAGGCTTATTGATCTTTAAGAGCCTTAGGATACGCATTTTTTCCTTTTGAATGAGTTTCCTGGAAGGAAAAATATTTGAATAATTTTTATGTCCTGAAGCTGCAGGGTTTTTTTTTTTTTAAGTACAATTTAAAATTTGTTATTTTCTTTTCTGCCTGTCTTTTATCACAGCTCCTAAGTAAAGATGACCTGGGACGGGGGCCCAGTGTCTGACATAGAGCCAGCTCATGGGACCTGACAGGAACACCAAGGACACAGCAGTCAGGACTGGATGGAGCTGAACTCTTAGGCCCACTGGCTGCAGAGAAGTGGAAGGCGGAATGGCGTTAGTAAGTGCCGCGTGACAGATGCTTCTAAATTAACAAATGATTAAATGACTACTTGAAATAATCGTGTTTTTGCTTACTACAAAGTATGCAAAAGTTATCACTGAATTTTATATTCCAAGTATGAATTTTTCTCACTTAGAAATGGCTTAAAAGTGGGACTGGGAGAAATTTTGACATAAACTTTCTTAAAGGCCACTGAATTTGTAAATACCAAGCAATATGAAGACATACTATGTGAAGTTTATTATAATAGTTATTACTTTCTACACATTTGACATGTATTTGTTATTACTGTAGCTGAAGGAATTATCTCAAATTACCAGGCCCATCATTTTACTTGGGATCACAGCCAGATAGAAAAGTATATGTTGGGGCTGGAATTTAGCTCAGCGGCATAAGCGCCTGCCTTGCAAGCAGTCAGTTGTGAGTTCGATCCCCGGTACCGATAAAAACAAAAAAGACAAAAAAAAAAAAAAAAAAAAGAGCGAGAGAGAGAGAAGAAAAGAAAACTCTATGTTTCAGATAAAAATAAATTAATTATGTTCATTTGCTAAAAAATACAAAATAAAATTTATAAAATACCTACAATAAGTTGAGATTTTCCTTTTGAATATGTTCAATATAAAAGTATTTGCATTTTGTTATTTTATAAAGTAATTTGAAATGTTTTCAATGGCTTAAAAAACAAATGTCTTTAAGCAGTAGATGCAATAGTTAAAAGTTATAGAGGCAAATCCAGTGCCACCTGGGACCTCTTCCCAGAGGGCAGAACTTATTGCCCTTACAAGGGCTCTTACACTAGCAAAGGACAAAGTCATAAATATATACACTGATTCAAAGTATACATTTAGCATTTTACACTTTCATGCCTCTATCTGGCAAGAACGGGGTTTTATTAACTCTCAGGGAACCCCCGTCATTAATGCACCTCTTATCTTTAAACTTCTAAAGGTAGCACTACTTCCAAAGCAGGCAGCAGTTATTCATTGTAGAGGACACCAGAGTTTTGCAGATTCACAGGCCAAGTTAGCTGCACAAAGGCCCTGCCCTTCTCATCTTCTCCAGTTAGTCCCAAATAGTCTACCTCAGCCTAATTATTCACCAGAGCAGCTACAGCTACTTCATAAACCAGGTTACACACAAAACACACAGGGATGGATTTTACAGGGATCTAAACTTGTTCTCCCAGATCAGCAGGCCTTAGACATCATCACTGACTTACATAACTGTTTCTGTATAAGATCAAAAGGACTTATACAAACTCTTAGCCCTAGTAGTCACACATCCTTCTCTAAAGGCTATCATTCTTCAGATTACTCACACCTGTCATCTCTGTGCTAGGACCTCTCCTTGGGGACATATAGCACCTCCTTCCTTTCCTATTCATCAATTTCGAGGACACACCCCTGATCAGGACTGGCAGGTAGATTTTACACATATGCCCTGCCACAAAATTCTCAAATATCTTCTCACCTTTGTTTGTACTTTTTCAGGATGGATAGAAGCCTTTCTCACAACCAGGGAGACTGCTGATGTATTTACTAAAGTCCTGTTACAAGAAAACATCCCAAGGTTTGGTCTACCTCAGAGTATTCAGTTAGATAACGGTCCAGCCATTATTTCTCAAATCACTCAACAGGTATCCTCAAGCTTACACATCACCTGATGCCTACACATTCCATACCATCCACAATCCTCAGGAAAAGTAGAAAAGGCAAATGGCCTCTGTTATGGTTTGAGAACTGGTGGTCAAGTTAACACCAGCTGGATTACATCAGCATGCATTGAGAGAAGATGCTCCACCTGAGGAGGGTTGCCAGGATAAATAGGTGGAGAAGAAGAGAGGTGGGGAGAGGGATTGAGGCATTAAGGAGGCATTGGGGGTTCTCCTACGAGTTGCTGTCTGAGCTGTTGGTTCTCCTGGAGAAGCTTTGGTCCTCACATCGAGCATTGAGCATTGCTTCCTGGCTCCGGAGGGGAAGACATGTGCTGCTTGGTCTCCAGGATGAACTCATCACGCTGCTTCCTGGCACGTACCCGAATGTGCTTGTCATCAGAGGAGTTCAGGGCCTCCATGTCACTAAGGACAGCTGTGGTGCCTTTCAGGCTAGCCCTGTTCTTTGCTGTGAGTGTGACTTCTCGGCTCCAGTGTAGAACCATCATCCCACTAGCACAGCTCCTTCATCCTGCTTACATAGACTTTCTGGCTTCCACCACTGACCTTTGGGTCTTCCCGGCATGGATCCATAAAAGAGACTGGTGTGAGTCCTTCTTGTGGGCTCTGGACCTCCCGTTGGACTCGTGGGAGGCATTGTCCTGAGCTCTGGGTTTTTATCTGGACTCATGTGGGACATTGCCATAGGGTTTAGGCTCTTGACTAAATAATCTATGTCTTTGGTGTTGCGGATAGATTTCCTGCATTTTCTTGTGTTAACTTCTGTTGACCATTATAAAAATATTATGAACTCCATGTCCTAATCCTAGTTATTCTCTGTGTACAACCCCTGACTACAACAGCCTCATAAAACACACCTTACAAAGCTCATTTTAGAACTACACCAACCTTGGCATGAACTTCTGCCCTTAGCCTTAGCCAAGCTCAGGGCACTTCTCCAGCTCTTACATCTTTAAGTCCTTTTGAACTTACGTATGGCAGGCCATTCTTACTCCACAATCTCCTACTCCCCAAATTCTATATTCCAGTCCTCTCCTTCCTCCGACACTTGTTATGACAACATGCTGATCTCTGCCTTCCTCAACCCTCTAAAGGGGCCAAACCAAATCCTCCCATATCCCCAGGAGATCTAATTTATCTCAAATGTTCTAAATCCACAGGACTACAACCAAGGTGGAGTGGCCCCTATCTGGTCTTCTTGGCAACCCCTTCAGCAGTCAAAGCTGCTGGACTCCCATCCTGGTTTCACATCACTCAGGCTAAGTGCTGCCCTCCCAACCCTAAATCTAGCCACCCTGAATGGTCATCTCATCTTCTGTCACCCACCCATCTCCGTTTCACCAAGGCCTCACAGCCACAGCTCTCAGGCTAGGTCATGTTTTGGTATCCAATTTGGCTCCTAATTTCTTGCCTTCTATTAATTATCCTTTTTACAGGAGGACTCATCAGTCTTTCCTAAAGATTCCCACATCATGCGCAAGATTGTCTTCATAGTTTTCTATGTGACAACTGTCTTAATTCTCTATACCCTCAACTGTTTGATCAAACATGACATCCCTGAAGGCCTAGGCTCTTACCTTCCTTATAGTGACACAGCCACGGTCATCCCCAGCCCGCTTATTCTTTCCAACTCAACTCCTGGACCAGAGAGAAGTCTTACCTACTACCCTCTTAGCTTTTACCCTTTCAGATGGGGGAATAATCACCTCTCATAACTTCACTCCTTCTAACCCCACACTTATTTTTTTCAGAATTCTAACTCATTGTGGTAATGATTCTACCTCACCGTGATAATGATTCTACATATCTAAATCAAAGTCACCTTTTCTTCTATCTCACCTGGGTCCTTAAATATGATAGTGACCTTCCTCCTCATAGCACCTTGTCTCTTTGTTTTTAGAGACCAACGTGTGGGCATTCACCAATGATAAAGTTGTCCTGGCTAAAACACTTGGCACCAGCTTCTGCATGGCATCAATCATCATCCTGTCAACCCTCCTAAATCCCAATACTGTGTCCCTTTCAGCAGGAAGTATTAAGAGAGAGAAAAACTTCACCCTTGTCCTAACAATAAAGATGGGACTGAAAGGATCTTGCCCTAGATAGGACTCTACAGCAGTGAGAGGTGGGATCCAAGGGAAGCTTACCTTGAGGGCATTTTCCCCACCCTTAGGCAATTTATCTGTGCCACTAAATGAGTTCCAATGGGCTACTTGGGCATCAGCAATTCCCCTCTAGGTACCACCCCAAACCAAAGCCCCTATACCACGTGTCCAGCAGAGAAAGCCAGACCCCAATGGTCATGGGTTCTCTCTGTGTTCTTAAAATAAAGGCCACTTTTATTTTATATTTCCTGTCTCTCTAACTGCACTGAAATAATAATAGTAGAATGACCTGTGAGATAAAGATGTAGTACTGTTGAAGATTCTGAAGTAATACATTTCCAACTAAATACATTCACAGTCATTCTATTAAAAAGAATATAGTGTAGATACAAAGTAAAGGTTCAGTATTACAAAAAGTAAAACTTTATTTACAATAACATAGTAGAGATAAAATTATGAAAAAGGAAGAAAATGGTAAAGCTTTATGAAGATATCAGTCATAAATCATTACAAAAATATGAACAGCAAATATATCTTGATCACTTTTGAGCAGATTTATTTTGCCTAATAAATCTCTGGTACTGCTATCTGTGTAGTAATCCTGAAACTATTTTTAGTATTTTTGATAGATTAACTGAGAAAAGAGATAGAAACAAAAAAGATTATCATGCAAAGAGAACAGAAAACATTGCTGAAAGAAAGACATATATGAGGTATGATCAAAATATACAGCAAGTGTTTAAAGTTTAAACTTTTATTACAGTAAAAGATATATTAGCATTAACCCTTCTCAGAATACTCTCCCTCCCTTCCAGCACCCTTATCTCATCAATCTCATCACTCTCTGAAGCAGTTTTGGAAATCTTCTGTGAGTGTCCTCATGAGATCTGATCAAAAATGCAGTGACTACTTCTGTGGGTGCCATCTGAAGGCAGGCGCATAGTGACATGGCCATGTGTCCTCAGCCACCTTATTCACTGAATCGGACACCGAATGACTTTTAACCCTTCACTCAATTTAAAGTGACGATGAAAAGTAAAAGTTTTCAATTGATTCAAGATATCGAGGCAGCCACAACAGCACAACAAAAGATATTCATGGAAAGGGCTTACAGAACTGCTTCAGAAAGTGGCCAGGATAAGGGGGTAAGTGTGTTCAAAATGAGGGAGAGTACTTTAAGGGGATTAATGCCAATGTATCTTTTACTGTAATAACTAAAATTTAAGTTTTCACACCCAATAAATGGAAAGATATCCCTATGTTCATGAATTGGAAGACAATATTTTTGTTTGTTCGTTTTTTGAGACAGGGTTATGCAGTTCAGGCTGGCCTTGAACTTACTATGTAACTCCTGCTTATGTAACTTTGAATTTGCCATGATCCTGCTGCCTCAGCCTCTCAAGGACTGGGATTACAGGAGTATGCTACCATGCCTAGAAGACAATGTTTTAAAAGATTAACACTACTCAAAGTGAAATACAGATTCACTTCAAAATACCAGTATTTTCTGCAAAAGTAGAAAAAAATCATCCTAAAATTCATATAGAATTTTAAGAAACCCTGAATAACCAACATAATCATGAAAAGGAGTTAGGTGAAAAGATTCACCTTTCCTACTTTTAAAATACATCAAGGCTACAATAATTAAAAGTGTGGTGGTGGTGTACAGATATGGCATACAGACAAATAAGACAGAATATAGAATCCAGAAGTAGACCCTTGATTATGTGATCAAATGGTTCTCAACAAGAATACTAAGACCTTTCAATTGGGAAAGGGCAGTTCTCTCAAGTGGTATTGGAAAACTGTATAACCACATTATACAAAAAGTAACTTAAAACAGATCAAAGACCTATATGTGACCAAAATGCAAAAGCTAAAAGTATAAAATTGTTAGAAGAAAACATAAGGGAAAATATTTACAGAATTGGATTTGGTAATGATTTCTTCTATATGAAACCAAAAAAAAAAAAAAAAAAACCAGCAACAAAGACAAAAATTAACAAATTTGACTTCATCAAAATCTAATTTTGTGATTCCAGAAACACTATCAGTCCAGCTCAGTGGTAGAGCGCATGCTCAGCATGCATCAAAGCCTTGGATTTCATGCCAAGCACTGATAATAGACATATACATGCACACAGACAGTGAAAACTGTTTAATTAAACAAAAGAGTAGCAAACTAACAACAAATAAAAGATAAAGCTCAGAACAGAAAAATAACAGGGAGAGTGGGAGGGAGAGAAGGAAGGAAGGAAGGAAGGAAGGAAGGAGGGAGGGAGGGAGGGAGGGAAGGAAGGAAGGAAGGAAGGAAGGAAGGAAGGAAGGAAGGAAGGAAGGAAGGAAGGGTCCCTAATACATCTTTCCTGCAGGCAGTAAATCTCTACACCAATGCAACGTCGTAGCAAAGAGTCTAACGGCCTTCTTGTGCCACTTGAGGCCAGTCATCCTCCTCTCACAGCTGACCTTCCTAGCTCCCCTTGCACTGAGCTTCCTGTGCTCCTGGGTTCTGGGTTCCTCACCTCTCTGAGCAGCTCCTGCACTGGGAGCCTGCCTTGTTTTGCTCTTGCTTTCTTCTGTTTTTCTATTGAGGAGAAACAAACACCCCACAGGTATTACCTAGTCTTCAAGACCCGTGACCCAAAGTCACCTCGTTTATGAAGCCTTGCTCCCTTCACTATGTATCTAGCTCCTCTCTCCAAGGATGATGCGATCACAGTGCAGGGAACCTCACCAGCTAATTTATGGAAGCTGTATTATGCACACAAATTGCATGAACCTTTGGACCCCACAAAATTTTGGTTTGTGAAAACAAATTATTTTATCTTTCCTTGATTCCTACAAATTTATACATGTTATACCTGTTAAGACTCCCATAAAAATTTACTGAGTTTTATTTCAGTACCATAGAGTTGAATTATTCTTTTCAAACACCAAGGTTTCTACTGAAGTTCTGAAGGTGAAGATGGTGATCCCCACAATGAATACTGTAAGTTAAACCAGTCCTCAGGCTCCTGATGTACATGAAGGATTATCAATTACTAAATATAATGATCATAATGAAATCCTAATTTTTGCTTTCTTCTTTCAGTAGAGTCTTCCAAAGTGTTAGCAATGCTATTCCTGTGAGATACTAAGGTAAGTAAAATAAAACAAAAATAAATAAAATAAAAATAATGCTTTCCTCAATGAATATAGCTGCTTCATTCAATATTTAACTTATGCAAACTAATAATAACATATTTCAGGAATAAAGTCTCACATTAGTCTGTTTTATTCACGAACTATTTTTAGCTTTCCTGAGTCATGGTCAGTGTGACAGTGTCTCATGGTACCACGAGGGACTTACCCAGGAAGGATGTGGGACCTTCCTGGGACATGAAAACACTGCACTGCACTGAAGGTATACGAACCAAAGAAATACCACAGTCCAGGAGTTAGTGACCGACCTTGCAACAGGACACATATTCAAAAGGGGGCATTGCTTTTATGGTCAAGACTGCTGACCTTCCTATACATAAAAATAACCATGGGTCACCCCAGGAACTAATACATTCTCCTTGGTTAACTGGCTACTAATCTAATAGCAAAAATCAGACCAATTATATTTAGAACAGTGCTAAGGCCTAAATCAGAATTTTTTTTTGGTCCTGGGAATCAAACTCACGACCTTGTGCTTGCCAGGCAGGC